CGACGACCTTCTAACTTTCAGGAAGGGGACAAGGTCTGGTAAAGTCATATGAACTGGGACAGGAACTGGGAATATCTAGAAAACTAATGCCACAGTACTTCGGTCCAAGGTCCTAGACATAGTGGGGGATCAGGTAAACGGACCTTCCTATGTGATTCACGCCCCACCTCATCTACGTACACACCCAATTTTTCACGCCTCTAGGCTGGCATTTTCGCAAAAACTACAATATTTCCTTCCAGACGGTCAATGCTGCCCCCAACCATGGATGGTGAAGTTGACATCGACGGAATTGTGGAGCATCGAGTGGTGCCAGTACCTAAACCGCCGGGCAGAGGCCGCCCTCCTAAGCCAAGAATGCAATACCGTGTCAGATTCAGGCATCATCTAGATCCCAACGAAGATCGATGGTTCACCAGAGAAGAACTCATACGAACAGCACCTCAAGTTATTGCAGGCGATGAAAGAGAACTCAAGGGGAAGATGCCTGCAGATTAGAAGACTTTATCAGAGGACTATCGAAGAAAAAGAGGAGGGAATGCGAGGATCTGGGTCCTCGGTAGGCCTAAGGGGCCCCTTGCTGTAGATGTGCCTGCCCTAAGTGAAGGCGGGCCTAACAGATCACGAGAGGCCCTAAGCTGTCATTTGTGTATTTGGGGTCCAGGCAGTTTTCGTCGCGCCAGTTGGTGAGGGAAAACACAGGCCGAGCAGCGAGACATTCCACGACCTTTTAAGCCTTTCCAAAAATGCAGGCCTTGGACGAGAATCGCAGGCCCATACACAAACAGTTGGGAGGCCTAGTAGCTGAAACAGAGGCGCAACATCCTGGGGCCTACCGGGAGCTTCTGGGTCGAGGCCCAGGTCAGCCAGGCTCTTTCCATACATTCTGGGGCCTACCGGGAGCTTCTGGGTCGAGGCCCAGGTCAGCCAGGCTCATTCAACACTTGCATGCTGGCGGCAGCGCTGTTGGAGTTGTTGGCGCTGAGAGGCAAGGTGCTAGCGCGTGCGGTCGTGGAGGGAGCAGGGCGCTGCTGAGGGCAGCTCTATAGCCCAGCCTCCATAGCTGGATGGGCTTGGACTACAGTGAGGCGCAGGGGTGGTCTTCGGGTGTATAGAGGGAAGACGTGGGAGTAAGTCAGGGGAGAGAGAAGGATGATGATGATGATGATGATGATGATGTGAGGGCACATACCTGGTATTGGCGATGGTCTGCATTGGGCGACATCTTCAAGTACTTTGTGGGCTGCTGACGTCAACAGTTGAATTGTCATTTAGTAGGCAAACTGTAGCTGTGTAGGAAGTAGGTTGGGTGTCGAGCGCCAAGTAGGGAGACAGGGCCTGGACACTCGTGTTGGCGGTGGCGAGAGCAAGCTCTCATTGACATTGGTTTTCAGTGTTACGATTCTTCATTGGTGTTATATTGGTGCATTTCTGCTTTCTGGGCACGGTGATACTATCTGGCCTTCAATGTGATTGTGCATTCTGGAAAATGTCATATCGCTATTGCTCATTTTCCTTGCAGGAACGTCGCAAGAAAATTAATTAATTCTAACCTATTTTCGAAAAAGAAAAGAATCTAAAATATTTTTTAATTTCGAGGGAGAAATGCCGAGAAAGAATAATAAATTTTACGTATTTTCATTTTTTTTTGAAAAAGTAGTAAAATTTGAAATTTGAAAAAGAAATGTTGAAAAAAAAAAAAAAATCGTAATTAATCACTTCCAAAGTATTTTCGGATTACAAGAATTTCAAATGAATTTTGAAAAGAAGAAAAAATAATAATAAATAAGGAATAAATGGCTAATGAAGTAAAGCGAGGGCGAGGTGATCCTATCTATGATTGATTGGGTGGTAGGGTAGTAGGCAGGGTTAAAATGGGGGGGGTTGCACGGGTAGA